CCCACTTCTCTTTGAAAGTATTTTTAGATACCAGACAGTTCAACCTTGTATGTTTAATATTTCCAAAACTGGATTTTGTTTTAAACTTTAGAATTCTTAAATTTTTAAATTTATTTATTGTTATTTAAAGATGATGTACAGAGGGGTTACAGTTACATAAGTCAGCTAAAGAGTACATCTCTTTTTGAACAATGTCCTCCCTAAACTTCAGAATTTAGATTTGAAAATAAAAGCCTTGCTTTTTAAAAAGAGAAAAGATTGTTTGTTTAAAGGAATGGCTTAGGTTTTAGAAATTTCCTTCACATTTTAGAGGTCTGGGTAAATGTACCAAGAATGTCTAAATATTTTCTGCTATTCAAAACTATCGGGATGCCTAATTTTTTATTCCTTGAGAGGTCACAAATTTCTACACTGCTATGATACTTTTAGAATCACCTCTAAAGCATTTAAAATCCATCACATTCCTAATTTTATTTAGTTATTTCCTGGAAGGAATAATAAGTAGTGAAAACCAAACACCTCCTAAATCAATCTATTTAGAAAGTAAGTAGCATAGCCATTCTTCAAAGACCTTTGCCTGCTTTTGCTATCATTTCGATTGGAATTGGATGTTTTAGGGAAAAGCTATAATAAAATTAGACACAAATAGTTGGCCTATTTCCCAACAGTATCTTCACACTTACAAGTAATTTGGAAGATACTGATCCAAAGAAACTCTTATTTTTTTAAATGCAATGTTTTTTTCCCTGTGTTTTTTAAATTAGGCTTCACAAGGAACTCAGGACACCAAAGTGCAGCCAACTGGCCCTCTGCTAGGCAGTAAAGTAGCTGGGGTACACACCCACACGGAAGGTCAGACAACCACAAGGACTTCATGGGCATCTTCACTGGGAGGTCTAGGAACCCAGCTCGCATAGAACCTTCAAAGAGGGTTAAGAGAATCCTTACAGAAAGAAAACCCATGTTTGCCATTGGAGGTGAATACCTTCTGAAGCAGTGAGCTGAACTGTGGCATCAGCTGATCAGCTTTAAATGTCAGAGACTGACCTAAAGTTCCTCCTAAGAGTAACTCCCTCCCACTCTAGGAGGAAAAGCCTGCAGGGAGAACTTTGCCAGAGAAAAACAAATGGCTTCAGACATTTTTTCCTATATTGTACTTTCCAGGAATTATGTAACTGCTTCTCCTTAAGATAAACAAATCCATTCTGGGACAGGTTGGGTTTTCAAGAGGAATTCAGGATTGAAACCTCAAGCTGGGTTTGAGCAGGGTCTATCCATGACCATCAGACAGCAGGTGATGCCCCCATCTCCACCCCAAGCTCCCTCAGGACAGATAGAGTTCTTGCTTTGTGCTTTTTTATACAAAGTGGAACCTCACAGTTACCACCCCTCATACAGTCCTAAAAGGAAGCAGTTAAGAGTCCAAGGACCTTCTGGACTCTACTCCCTCCAAAGTATACATGTCAGGGTTGCTCTGCAATACAGAGACAAATGCTACATTTCTTCCAAATGGGAGCAGGCAACTGTCATGAGAAAGAATAAAGGGAGAGAACCACAGGCTGGGCTCACTCAGAGCCATATCAGGAAAGCCAAGCAGGAGAGTCCAGGACTCCAGGATGCTCTGTGAAGCACTTGCCAGGGAGAGGCAGCTGGGATGACGTGATCTAGGAGAAGGAGAGCTGTATCTATCCCGGCACTGAGTGGCAAGAGCGCAAAGGCCAGGGAATGCTGACCAATGACCCTGGAAACCCAAAGTAGCACTTCTTTGTGACCCAACAACAGAGAACATCACTAAAAAAAGAAAAGGCTCGAACAGATGTCATTCACTTCAGATAATACCTGGTCACCCACAATTCACAAATGGTAGAAAACATACAGAGACAACCACATGGAGGGATAGGAAAAAATGATCTGCACAGCAGAAACAGGAAATCTGAAGAGGTAGTGTCCAGAGTTTAGGGCTGATAGCTAGACCATCTGGACCTGGACCTGGCTTTATCATTTTCTGGTTATGTGACCCCAGGCAACCTCTCAGTGCCTGTGCTGTTGTGAACATTCAATGAGCTTGTGTTTTCAAATGCCTAACAAAATGCTAGGCACAGAGGGCAGCCCATACCTGGCAGCTCTCATGAGCATTCTTGTTAGAGAAAAGAAGCCATTGTTAACAATCCTGGATCACCTCCACTAATTCAGCCATTAGACAGAAGTGGGTATAGTAGTACACACCTATGATCCCAATATTCAGGAGGCAGAGACAGAAGGATTTCAAGTTGGATACCATGCTGGGCTACATAGCAAGACTCTGTTTGTTTGTTTTTTAAAGGAACAAATAAAAACATAAACAAAAGATGGCAGCAAGTTAGTCTCACTCTGTACCACAATCCCATCCCTTGATTGATAGCCTCTTGTAAAGTTAGGATGGACTAACTTCTCTCAACCTGAAATGGGGAACTGACAGCCATCAAGTAGAAAGACGGTGTTGTTTTGGCAAGCTGAAGAAAAGAACAAGGAGAGGGTGAGAAAGTATGAAAAAAGAAAGCACAGAATGCAATTTAGTTCAACTATACAGCATAAGAATAAACAAATACGAAAGAGTTATCTACCATAGGAAAAGGCAAGGTCCAACTACATGCTCTTTTCAAGTATCATGCCTAAAACACAGAAACTTAAAACATTAAAATCTAAAATTCAATGAAATATAATTTATAGGATAAAAATGGAAAATAAGATATCACACAGAAAAACTGAAATGACAATTGCAGAATAGTAGAGTATCATTGAGAATGTTATATACCCAAACATGTAGGATGCAACAAAAGCAGCAATTATAGGAAAAAGGATAGCCTTGACTATTTTGCATATTAAAGTGAGAAGAATTACATATATTCCATACTGTATCAAATTCATATTTCATTAAATTTAAATGTCATCTATTATGAGGTATATCTTTCGTGTATCACTAAGAAAAAGTGCTGCCAGTTAAATAATGTTAGAAGGTGTTATCATCAATTGAAAGATGCATCCTCCTTTCAGAGGTGCTAATAAAAGGTGTTAGAAAAAAAGAATAAAAAGACTTTACTCCCTAAAATTAATATAACCCTAAGGCCAAAACTCTAAGCAGTTTCCATTTATCAAGTTGGCAAAGAAACAAAGAAGGAAGAGAAGGAGGGAGGGAGGAAAGGCACAGTGTGCGTGTGGGAGAAAGATGATTTCATCTCCCTCTAATGAACATGTGAGCTGACACACCTTCCTGGAGAGCATTTTGAAAATGTACATGAAAACACATATTTGTGCACGAGTTTGGTTCTGAACCACAGTTTGAGGAAATTATCACAAGGCAAGGTAATAACAAAAGAGTTTTTGTGACAAAATTTTTACTACAAAAAGTACAGAAATAAGTTAAGTGGCCAATATTAGAAAGCAGAATCAAGTTTGACAAGTCCATCTGATGGAGTCACAGCACGGAAATGAAGATGATAACGTTAGGTGTGATGATAGAGTGAATGTGCTTTGGATCTGCACAAATGAATGGCAAGGAGCAAAATACTTCAGGTGGGATAATGAATGGGTAATATTTTTTTCTTTTCCTAATTCCTTACATTAAACATATACAATTTTCTAACCAGCAAAATCTACCCAGAATATCATGATCCAGGATACCAGAAAGAAGACACTCGCATATCTATGTTCACTGCTGCACGATTCACAATAGCCAAGTTATGGAAACAGCCCTGATGCCCTACAATAGATCAGTGGATCAAAAAATGGGTACCTACACACAATGGAATATTACACAGCCATTAGAAAGAATAATATTGTGTCATTTGCAGGGAAATGAATGGACCTAGAACAAATCATTTTAAGTGAGGTAAGCTAATGACACATTGTGAATAAGACAAATGGCACATGTTTTTTCTCATATGCAGAAGCTAGCTCTAAAATACACTGGGACATTCACACACAGTGAGACAATCCTTAGAGGAGGAACACAAAGGTGCAATGCCTCTGTGCCTCTGATCATATAAAATAATATTTATCAAGCCAGGAGCTAGTGGCTCACACCTGTAATCCTAACTATTCAGGAGGCTGAGATCTAAGGATCGTGGTTCAAAGCCAGCCTAAGCAGGAAAGTCCATGAGACTCTTATCTCCAATTAATCACAGAAAAAGCTGGAATTGGTGCTGTAGCTCAAGTTGTAGAGTCCTAGCCTTGAGTAAAAAGTTGCTCAAAGACAGTGCCTAGACCCAGAGTTCAAGCCCCACAACTGGCCAATAATAATAGTAGTAATAATAGTAATAAAATTTGTCAAAATGAACTCCAGGACATGGAAACAAGAGATTTTTTTCCTTTATTGTTGTTTTTGTTTTCTTTTTTTGTCTTGTTTGTTCATATATCTGTCTTTTGGAGGGTAAGGGGAGACACAGGAGTGGAGGGAACAAATGCAGCAGTACTCAGTAGAAACTATGTAGAAAATGAACTATACGACTTGTGAGTAGGGACAGGAGGGAAAAACTGGGAGAGAGTGAGGGAAGGGGTGACACTGTCTAAAAAGAAATGTACTTATTGCCTGACTTATATAACTATAATCCCTCTACACATCACCTTTATAATAACAATAAAAATTTCAAAAATCAGTTGATACTAGAATTTTACTTGTACAAATCTTATGAAACATGCAAATAGCACTCAGAGAACCAGAACGCAGGTTTGCACCTGGGTTCCCATCGCTGTGACCTGTCTGGGCTATACCCTAGGAGGCTGGGGTTCACAGATCACATATATAAGATGCATAATATCCCTTGTTTCTTCCTCACAGCTGGGTTTCCAACCCAGGGAAGTATAAACAGTATGTTCCAATCCAAGAAGCCAACCAGTTGCCTCTTTACCCAATGATCCCTGCTGCTTCCTGGAAATTCCTCAACTAGAAACTGTAAAAACATCTTAATTGGCGCTGAGCATGTTTCTTAAAAAAATAATAATAAGCCAATTCAAACTCTTACCTAGATAGGGAATGCTGGGCACCATCTTCAGGCTTCGAATATATTCCCGAGTCCGTTTATAATTATCTTCCTTGGACATCAGGTAGTCTAATTTCTCAAAGGTGGTCTTGTCTTTTCTATTCAAAAGCTGGAATAAGAAGAAATTATAGAGCATAAGAGAGAAAAGAAATAAAGCAGAGAAGCTAAAGGGAGAGGAGAGCTGTGAGCAAAGAACAAAAAAGAAACATCTTAAAGGGTATGGTGATGGTGTGCCAATTCCTGGTACAAATCAAGATGTTAAAAGGCTGCTTCATGTGGAGATAGGAAGTTTCCTAGCCTCAGGCTTGTCATTTTTACAAACTCTCACATGGAAGGTAACCACCACATTACCTAGCCAGGCCCCCATCCCCTACAGTACTGATCTCCCTCAGGTACAGAGACTCAACCTGAGCATGGAACTCAGAGAGTGAAGCTGACAGCTCAAGGTCACCTGGAGACTATATTATAGGTATACCAGGTGTCTTTCCTTGAGTTCTACCACTTCCCCCACCCTCCATTGTGGCAGAAGGTGCCAGGACCTTTCATGTGACTCACATGAACACAGTGAGAACAGTGCTCCAAACTATGCTGTCTTCTTCAGAGTCCCTAGCACCTACCTATGTCATATTTCACTAGGTAGGGTATAATTTTTAAAAAAGGACAACTTTATCTTCCACAAGTAGTCATCTACTGATTGATCTAGTTAAGCACCCAGCATGAGGAGGTACCCACAGCCAGTGAGGAGAGAAGCAAGTTTCTTGGAGAGTTATCTTGCAGAGGCATAAAGTTGGTGACCTTGGAGAGAGTGTGGCTCAAGGTGTACACCAAGTCTGGGAAAGGAAGGAGTAGAATTCAAAACTCCTAGGAAGGGGCTGGGAAGGTGGCTCAGTGGTAGAGTGCTTGCCTTGCATGCCTGAGGCCCTGGGTTCGATTCCTCTGCACCACATAAGCAAAAAGAAAAAAGCCGGAAGTGGCACTGTGGCTCAAGTGGTAGAGCGCTAGCCTTGAGCTGAAGAGCTGAGGGACAGGGCCCAGGCCCAGAGTTCAGGCCCCATGACCGGACCCCAAAAAAATAATTTAAAAAAATCCTAGGGACCAAGACTTGATGTGAAGGACTTATGTTGGTGGGAATCCTGCATGTCCCAAGTCAAGGTCCAATACCAGAAATAGCGGCAGGTCTCCCCAAACACAATGACTTTAAGAAGGGAGTCCCAAGACTGGGAGGCTGGACTTGGGAGGAGGGACTAGGGTGGCCACTGGAGACCAGGGGGGCTGGCTTTGTCACACATGTGGTTGATGCTGGCAATGCCCTCAAGTCCAGCTGCCAGGGCCAGTGCTTCTGGAGTTGGTGGCTCAGGGCTAAGCCTTGACTAAGCATCCTTGACTAAACTTCATCTTGAAAAATCTCTATAGTCTGTGCAAGGACCTAGACCAACAGACTGTGGAACAGACTGTGTTCCAATGCCCCACCTTGCAGCAAGGCCAAGTGGAACAATGACTGCCCAGCACTGGGGGGAACTACAGCTCCTGGGACCTGGGTTTGAGGATCCCCAGGCAGCAACATCCAGGCTGCTTTGGCCAGGCCTTGCTTAATTCCTCCATGATCTTCATGAGACAGCCATGAGATCAACCCTGAGACAGCCCAGTGTAGACAAGCAGTGATAGTCTTTCAGAGAAAAGGTAGAAGAACAATTGAAAGGAAGTTTTCAGTGCTGAAAACAATGGAGATCTTTTTTTTCCCACTACAAAAAAAAAAAAACACAAAACACAAAAAACAGGATACATCAGAGTAGGATGCTAGCAGATGCTAGGAACAGCAGCTGCTTAACTGGCTTGTTAATTTGAGGCTGTAATTCATTACAGTGACAAATGGACAGGAAATACCATCTTGAATTAGCTGTTTGTAAACACTGTTGTAAACAATCCATCTAATCTTTACAAAGCCTAGAGGGAAAGGATCCAAGACTGTTGTCTCTACTTCAGTTTCATAATCACAAGAATTAGGTGATTTGTCTGTACATACTTGGGAAATTTGATTCAATAGAAAAATGAGATATGTTTTATAGCAATATGGTAAATGAGTAGAGACCATGAACCTAAATAAGTTGCCATCAAGATAAGTGTCAAGAAGAGATAGAGAGGTGGCATTTGAAATGATCACTTAAGAATGACAAAGTCACTCTGGCACCAGAGACTCATGCCTCTGAATATCCTAGATATTCAGTCAGCTGAGATCTGGAGGACTGAAGTTGGAAGCTAGCCTGGGTAGGAAAGTCCTCAAGATTCAATCATGAGCCACACCAGGATATGAATGCAAAGTCCCGGAGTTTAAGCCCCAAAGAACAACAAATTTGCCGGGTCTTGGTGTGGCTCATTCCTGTAATCCTAGCTACTCAGGAAGCTGAGATTTGAAGACCACCACTCAAAGCCAGTCCAGGAAGAAAAGCCCATGAGACTTATTTCCAATTAACAAGCAGGAAGCCAGAAGTAGATCTGTGGCTCAAATGGTAGAACACTAGCCTCAAACATAAAAAGTTCAAGGACAGTGGCTAGGCCCTGAGGTCAAGCCCTAGGGCTGGCACACAGACATACATGAACACACACAGAATGACAAAGAATGGCAAATTCAGCCAGGCAACAGTGGCTCACACCTGCAAATCCTAGCTATTCAATCTGCTGAGATTGGAAGGCTAGTTTGGAAGCTAGCCTGGACAGAAATTTCAGTCCTGAAGACTCAATTATCAGCTATACCAGGATATGATAACAAGGTCCCTGAATTTAAGCTCCTAAAGAATGATGAATTTGCCAGGAGCTAGTGGTTCATGCCTGTAATTCTAGCTACTCAGAAGGCTGAGATCTGAGGATTGTGCCCGGACAAGAAAGTCCTTGAGACTTTGCATGAGACAAATTTACCAAATAATTCATACCCAGTGCAGAACCACTTACCTGGTGTGTACTACCCCCCACCCCCTTTGTGAAATTAATCAGGCCCTCACCTAAGTGTTCAGTAAGTTTTTTGTTTTGTTTTGTTTTGGGGGGGTTTCTTTTTGTGCCAATCCTGGAGCTTGAACTCAGGGCCTGGCTGCTATCCCAAAGTACTCTACCATGTGAGCTTAACTTCTGGCTTTTTTGGTAGTTAATTGGAGACAGGCATTTCCTAGACTTTTCTGCCCTGGCTGGCTTCGAACTGCAATCCTTACAACTCAGCTCCCTGAGTAGTTAGGAGTGTAAGTGTAAGCCTCCAGCACCCTATTAATGTGCTGACTTCTTTGCAAGCATTTACATTTGCCCAGCAGTTAAACCAACCCTGATGTCCTTATCCACTCCAACTAAATCATGCCAGTATACAGTGCCTACATTTCTTTAGTTTCAGCTGCATCACTGCCCATGCCCCTGTGATGTTTAGCTTGCTTAGCTCTAGTCCAGTAACTGTACAGACAACACCACAGAGATGCATCCTGTCACCTGTGCCCTCCCACACTCAGAAGAGCTAGATCTGGTTAACCTCATTGGTCCATTAAGTGCCTACAAATGAGATTCAAGACAGTGGCAGATTGCTCAAGAATAATGCATGAATTGCTAGGAAACATTAAGAAACTTTCTCTCTGTTTGTTTTGCCAGTCCTGGGGCTTGAACTCAGGGCCTGGGCACTGTCCCTGAGCTTTTGTGCTCAAGACTATCACTCTACCACTTGAGCCACAGCACCACTTCTGGAGTTTTCTTTTTATGTAGTACTGAGGAACTCTATCACTAAGCCACATCCCCAGCCCACATATTTCTCATGATAGATTTGAAAACTGAAAATTTCCTTTAGCAATATGAAGGAATAAACTAGGGGCAGTAAGAAATATACAGGCAACAGTAGGTCCAGTCCGGGATGATAAAGGAGATTCTGGGATGCCCAATGAGTATCAGTCCTTAAGACAATTAACTAGCCCACAACGAATCAAGCCTGGATGGACATCTCAAAAAAAAAAAAAAAAAAAAGGGCTGGGAAGGTGGCTCAGTGGTAGAGTGCTTGCCTTGCATGCCTGAGGCCCTGGGTTCGATTCCTCAGCACCACATAAGCAAAAAGAAAAAAGCCAGAAGTGGCGCTGTGGCTCAAGTGGTAGAGCGCTAGCCTTGAGCTGAAGAGCTGAGGGACAGCGCCCAGGCCCAGAATTCAGGCCCCACGACCGGACCCAAAAAAAAAAAAAAGAAGAAGAAGATTCCCTATGATGGCATACTTGGGGTATGGAGGAGGCATAAATAACAAAAAATAAAGACCATTATAAAAATTTGCATGGATATGTGTGTCTAATAAACAAATGGTCAATAAGGAGAGAGAGAGAGAGAGAGAGAAAGAGAGAAAGAGAGAGAGAGAGAGAGAGAGAGAGGATGGTGCTAGGTATTGAAGCTAGGACCTTCTACCATGCTAGGTAAGGGCTCTACCACTACACTACATCCCTGGTCCAAGAACTGTTTTTTTTTCCAAGGAAATTAGAATATCCAGGAGGATGAGAAAATATTCAAGAACATGCTATAATTTATTATTTGTCTATATAGAAAAGTATATTTACTTACTCCTAACCATTAAGACACTACTCATTTAACAAAACTGATTTAACTATAGTGATGTATTTTTGAAGAAAGAAAGAGTAGTTCTAGGGACTAAACAAATCTATCATACGAAAATGTCACTAGATACTCTCTAAAGTGGATGGGGAAATTGTGGCAAATGCACATGGGTGTAAGTGTGGCAGATACCAAAAGAAGCTGCTGGGTGGCTGGGAGTGGCTGCCTCTGGGGAGGGTGGGTGGGAGAGAGTGCAGAGAGTCAGTTATTTCACTAAGCCTTTCAGTACTTAGTGATTTTAAAAAATTAATGTGCACATATTATGCTGATAAAAAGCCTTTTGAGATTTAGTTTCTTAAATATAGAGTTTGTTTACTCAGAAAATAACAGCATTTATTTACACATGTTTTAAACTTTTACTACAAGTAGAACCACAAACTGTAAACCTCACATGAATTGAGGTCCTTTAGATTTTAGAGTTTATGGAAAGCCTCAGAAATAAGCCATCAGAACTACATATGAGAAAATAGATTACTTGCTTACCAGGAGTCAAAC